ACACACATATTTTTTTATATAATAAGAAAAAACACATTCCCATGCATTAGTTTTTATTTTATTTTCATCAAAATATAAAAGTATAATCCTTTTCTTCTCAGTTCCTTTTCACTTAAAAACAACATATCGAATGAATCCTTAATTAAAATGTGGGGGGTTGATTTACGGAAAAAAATTCATTTTAAACAAGTTTTATCTTTATTTAAAACATTTTTAACATAAGATTAATAAAATGTGAGAGTAACATGAAACCTTTTAATCACCCGTATTTATTTTTGTAAATAATTTTCTTATTGGGAAAGTTAAGATTTTTCTATTCTTTTCCTTTTCTATTTCTCTCTAAATAAAGTAAGAAATTATCATCCAATCTTTTAATAACTTTTTTATTCTTTTTTGAAAGTATTTCATAATTTCTAAGTTCAAAATAAAACAACTATCAATCTATTTTCTTTTTCCATTAAATACTTCTGTCCCAATCATATCCGCTGCAAAATCGCAATCCACGACCATTACTGACATGATGACATTTTCTATACGAGCAGTTTAGCCACCACTTGGCGATGAAATGATCATCTAGTTATACGTATGAGTTTCCATTCCAACGCTAATAGTGGTTAATGAATAAATCTTGTTCATGATCAGAGTCATGTTATTAACATATCATTAATTTAGTTTTTTCAAACTCTAATCCTATCTTCAGCTTTTGTATTTGATCACCCATATCAAAATTTGAAAAAATCAATTTAACAAATTAAAAAAAATTGAATTTTGCTCGTAATTACACAATTCATATTTTTCCAGGTTTTTTAAAAACTTATTCTAGAGAATATTCCTTTTCCATTTTCTTTTCTTTTGTATAACAACGATTGTTGGTCATGACTACGCGGGAAAGGTCAAAAGAAAGGGGGAAATAAGAGATCAAATCAAAAACGTGATAGCAAGTGGGCCACGTGGAATCAAAACAGAGAAATTGGGGTCAGACATATGTCACGTGTCATGACATGTGCGGTGATGATTCTGAGGTGTCCACAGTGTATTATGGCACCACACGTGGCGAGGGATGACAGCTCAATTCAGCATTTCGGCTTTAACGTAATGATAACAATTTGGTATTTAAACAATTAAATCCGCCAAGTGACTAAGTGAGTGGACTGTATTCACACAGAGTCTATGTAAGTCACCATCACGTCCTTGTCACGTGAGTTTCCCTCCCACTCAGGGCACCGCCCTCTTTCCTTTTTAAGTTTCATGAACAGTGGGGGTAGTGATATCGTAACACTGAATCATATGTGCTATGTTTCTTTTCGCGCCTTTATAAATTTCATATTTTATCATAAATATAATTATAAATGGTATTTATTTCTTTATAAAAAATAAAAGAAAAAATATTTATACTTTTAAAGAATATAATTTTGTGTCATTTTAGATCTTAATCGTTGATTTTTATCAATAAACGGTTATAATTTACTGAATTTTATTGCGAATTATTAATTAATTAATAAATTTGATCCAGCAAATTCCAACCGTTGATCGATGAAAATCAACGGTTATAATCTTAAATGACACAAAATTATATCATTTAAAAGAACAAATATTTTTTCCAAAAATAAATTACACACAAATTGACAGATATAGACAAAAGGGAGCTACTCTTCAATAACATGAGAATAATTTTTTCTTTTTTTAATTTCATCTTTTTTGTGACTTACATAATTAACATATGTTTATCCAAATAATGAAATTGAGGTAAACACGTGGCACTATTTTTTTTTTTAATTGATCATAGGTGGTAATTTTTTATTTATAAATGTAATTTATTAAAAGGCTCAAGATTAAGGGTTGGGTCCCCTCTTTACTAATTAGAAGTGATTAATTAAAACAGAGATAAAATTATTGCTACCTTCTATAAGAAAACAATATAAATTGACAAAAAATCAATTTTTCTTAAATATGAATCTAAACAGTAGGTTTTTAACAAATAAAATACGACCTGCAGATATTTATATATACAGACTATTTATGATAAGTGATTCATAATAATTAATGTTGATTAATTATATGTATGAAAACCCCCGGAGTAGTAATAATCTCTTAAAAATATATAAATGACAAGGACTGTATTTGTGTGAGGTCTCAAAGAAAAGTGGTTTGTGTATGTATCATTAATTATATAAATTAAGGTAAAAGATATTTGCGAGTGTCTAACTTACGTGGAGTTCAATAATTTATAATGATATTAATATAAAAATGTGTGCCTTATCTCCACTATGAATGAAATAATTTCAAGTGTGTAAGGGTTTGCCAATTAATTATAATTCCTGCTGTCCTGCATCACATCAAAATAATTGAACGCGAGCATTATTTGATTGAACATTCAACATTTATGAAGCATATAGTTTAATATGCATTTGAGCTATCTTTAATCATTACATTCCCAAAAATTAATTGCAGGGAACAAAAAAAGAAGAAGTATGGTACACGTCGTATGCAAATTTGGAAATCGAAACAGTAATTGGGACAACTCTATATAGTATATAGTACTCAATAATATTAGAACTTTCGTATTTTTTTTTTGAGAAAATAATTTTTTTTTAAAAAAACTCTTAAAGAAAATTAAAAATGTTTTTTTGTAAAATAAGTGAATTCACCACTAAGGAGCGTAATCCACTAAGAATGAAATGGACATTTGGAGTAATACGTGGCGAGTTACGGTGAGAGGGCGGTGACCAACCAACCATCCACCAGAAAAGGTCAAGGCTACAGAGATCCGTCAGAGGAACCACCAAACACGTCCTTTTGGGGCATGCTGTCTTTTTGTCCACACCCTTCTCTGCACAGCTATTCACTATTGTGATTTGTGACCACTCATCCTCGCCACTAATCGCTCCTTCATCGTCCAAAGTCCAAACTACTACTGCATGAGAATGACCCGTACGTTTTATGCTTCGACGCGGAAACCGTGTTCTCTTCGCCAAATTCCAAACCACGGATAACCAAATCAAGTGTGAAAAATTATGTACAGTCAACCACATACTTGATAGACAAAATATATCGGTTATATATGCATGCTTTGGTATTGTACACAATGTTTATATAGAAGTGTAGTAGATTATTTAAATTACAAGTTCATATCCTCAACCCAAAACATATACATACATCTACGAGGAAAATTAAAGCTGCATGTGTGTGATCTCGATGTATTTCTATTTCAACACCAGAAATTGGGCTTTTTGACATGACAAATGTGTTTTTCAAAATACTCTATCAATTTAATTTTTTTTTCAAATGTATTACTAGACTAATGTAAAAAAACGAACATATAATCACACACAAGAATGTGTGTGTATGATGGAGAGACTATGATGCGCCGTAAACAAGCACTTGGTCATGAAGGGATCATATTGAATGGATTTAAACGCGCACTTGGGTTTGGTGTGTCCATACAGAGACACGCATCTGGTTCTGACGTGTCTTGAATGGTCTGACACGAGACGTTCACTTAGTTCTGATGTGTCTTAATTGGACTGACATGAAATGCGTATGTGTCAGGTACATGATTATTATATGCGTAGACACCTGATGTGCGTCTTCCTACATTAGTCCGGTAATACATTTGATCCAAAAATGAAATATTTCAAAAGACTCAATATTTGTCAGGTTAAAAAACCCCCGAAATTGTAATATCATTTTAAATAATGGAATTAAAACAACTCTGACTGATAGTTAACGTACAAACAATATTTATCTGCTCAAATTGAGAAGAAAAACGTACACCTTTTTCGTACGCAAAATCCCAAAACCATAGTTTCCCTTTTGTCCAGGCAATCTCGATCGGATGCTAGCTAGCATGCGCGCAAGACCTTGAGCTTACAGACACATCCAGGCCCCCCAAACCAACACAACTTCATAAGCTTTGTCCATATTGGGGGTACTTGATTATCACACACATCAGCGATGAAAAGCCACAACATATAAGGTTAAACCTCATTAATACCAAAAAGATTGCTCATTGAAATGAATAACGTCAAAATTCCAACTAGTTGACGGACACGCTCGATCAATGTGTCCAAACTCTCAGAATTGCATGGAAAATGAGAAATATATAACTATACATGCCCAACACGTGTACGGCAAAAATGGCCAGGCTCGGCGTGCATTGATGCAACGTCAATGATAATCTCATACGATATTATGATACACATATAATTAATAATCTTCGTGTCACTAGTCCAGTACCTATCACAAAAATGCAATTATGTGATATTTGCAAAGAGGTAAAAGGGTACTTTGGTAACTTTGCACGCGCCTCTTAACTGGCCTTTATAAAAGGGTACTTCGGTCTAGATCTACTCCAATTTCATGTAACCCTGCGAATTTCTTCTCAAGCTATTGTCTTCTCATTCTGCTTTGCTCGTTATTCCTTTTTGAGAAACACGGTAAGATAAATCCATTGATGATCTCGTTCATTTACACTAAATTATTATTATAATCTCATAATTATATGTATATATATATGACAACATAAAGGTCCAATAAAAAATCTATTGGTTCATATCCCAACATTCTGGATAACTTCATTTTATAACTTTAATTTGTTAATTGTGTGTGTGTTTCTTTCTTCTTCTTTTTTGGTTTAAAATATATATATATATATATATATATATATATATATATATATATATTATATGTAGAGTTCTTAATTTATTTGTTTTCTAATTAATACAGTGGTGGTAAGCATGGAGAATGCAAATATATCTGGATTAGCGAGAACGAAATCGGATCAACTGGTGGAGTCGGCGGTAGCAGCTCTTAAGTTACCAATGTCGACAAGTGAATCGACAGGAGTGGTGGAGGGTGGTGGATCAAGGAGGTCAAGTAGGAGGATGATGGCGGCGGCGTCACCGGGCCACGGCGGAGGAAAAAACACACACATAAGGAAGAGTAGGAGCGCACAGTTGAAGGTTGAGGTGGATGAGGTTAGCAGCGGTGTGGCACTTAGCCGAGCTTCAAGTGCAAGCTTGGGCCTCTCATTCTCCTTCACTGGCTTCACTCTGCCTCCTGATGAAATCTCTGACTTCAAACCCTTCAGCGACGATGATATCCGTAAGTTCATTCCTCTATAACACATACGTAATCTCATGCAACAGTTATACACCAATTACTTACCTAACTTCTAATTAAAATTGTATAATCTAATAATTAGCAACAACCATATAATTTTGAGAAAACTTATGTTTAGATTAGTGCACTTTAGGATTTTATTTCTTTTTCTTTACAAAGATAAGATAAATGAAGAAGAGGGACGTTTTGTCATATTCTTCAGAGGTGTAGGCTTTCACACCCTTTTTATGATGTTCACGAGCTTGATGTGGTACGTTTTGTTTGAGATTTCAGTCGTTTTAAGAACAAAAGGTTAAGAATGCTCAAGAGCTTGAGTTGTGTCGTTGCGGTGACCACAAAATTTACATCTCGGGATTAATTAAGGTTTATTCTCGTATATATTGATGATTACCTTGCAGATGTGGGTTGATTCGTTGTTTTTTCTTTCTACGCATTACAACACTCACGCATCTAAAGAGTAACATGAGGACAAAACAAATGAAGTAATATAACTTTTCTATCTGAGTTTTATTATTCACAATTTTTAATATAAAAATTTACTTTGTTTTTCTCAAAGTCTAATTTCAATGCATTATTATTTAAATTTTATGTTAATAATAGCTGTATAAAATATCAAAATTCTTAAATATAAGTATACTATTTTTTTATAGTAATAATATAAGAACTTTTTCTTTCGCCTCAAAGACATATCACAATAATAATTTCACATTTTTCTTAAATTTCTATACATTCCAACTCAATAAATTTTTATTTTATTTTATTTATTTTCTTTTGCTATGCCCAAGAGATTTGATTAGTTAAACTTGAATGAAACCTAGTGAAAGATGAAAAAATAAGAAGGTTTACAGACTGCTGCAGTGTAAAAGTGATACTATTATAAATATCGGGTTTTGTTATTTCACATCGATATTAATACAATATTATTCTTACGTATTTCTTAGTTGAAAAATAAAAGAGAGAATATATATTAAAAATATGTGTATTTTTTATTTATTATAAAAAAGTGATGTAAAAATATATATTAAATACTATTATTGTAAAACATTCACTTGATTGAAATATTTGTTTATAACATTTTAGTATAGAGTTCAACATACCTTTCTATGAAATATCTCTTTCACTTTCGTTTCTTGAATTGAATCCTTAATGAGAATCTCTTATGCACCGATTTATTAATAGACCTTTTTTTAAGTAAAAAATATAAAATATAAAACATTCATGTCTTTTTTGTAATTAGTCGGGTCCAATCCAACGAACAACCTCTAACCACAAACGCGTGATTAACGGTCCAAAAACAAGTGACTCACAGTGGTTCTCAGAACCGAAAGCACCATCTATTCCTATGGTCAATTGGTCCCCCTTAGCCACACAATGTCGTTCTAACTAAATATGGTAATTGTCATTTCATGCATGCTCCATATATTTCCCTTTAACGATCCTAGCGTGCTATTCATGGGTCACTGGTTTATTTGCTTAGGGGTTACCTATGCTCAAACTTAGATCCTTGAATACATTAGTAAACATGACAATTGTTTGATAAGAATTAATGATGTGTTAAATTCTTGTATAAACCTAATGTTTTAAACTGAGGGAACTAAACTATTAGGATCAGTCTAATGATGAGGGATTTGAATAATCTGTATGAGGTTATAGATTTATAACCTCAATATATATTATCATTGTATTTTTTTTTAAAAAAACTTAGGGAACTAAGTCAACAAATTGTTAATAAATTATCAATTTCTGTCAAATAAATATTTAATTTGCTTAAATTCACATTCACTAGGTTTATATTGACTCTCTTGTTCCCATCTTTACAACTATTATGAGGGGGACATGGCCCATTTTGTTGACTATGATACCAATTATTGAACCTATTCTTCCATTTTTGTAGGAAAGCACACTGTCTCATTCTTGGGCCCTTCATTAATTTTCGGCTTGACTTTAATTCACAGCTACGTGGAATTAGCTTGACTTTTGTGTACGGCTATGTTGAATTAGCTTGACTTACTGTGTTTAAGTGTCATGATCAATGCTTTTATCACTCAGAATTTCATTACCTGTGAATATTGTTAATTTTAAGGAATACTACACATTTATTTGAGGAGCCCGAACCCAAGAACATGTATTTTTATTTGTAGTACATAATTGCACTAAGTGAAACTACTTAAGGCTTCCTCCTTGTCAATTATATAAAAAGGGTTACCTATGTATATTGCAGCGGAAGATATTGAAGCAGGAACTAATAAGCCAAAGTTTCAAACGGAACCTACTCTGCCTATATATCTAAAGGTAATAATACATTTTTACGTGTTAAAAACTAAAAAGTATGTTCCACTTCATTCCTTGCCTGCGCCTACCTCTGCCGGTACTGTTCAAACCTTCAATAGAGCATGAGTTTGATATAGTGCATGCTGTGTGTGTATTTGGGCAGGCAACGGTGAAGCTTCATTTAGTGATCAACGCCACCAATAGAACATGGCTAGCAATATATAGCATGGTCAGGTTCAGTCTTGTACAAAGTTTCATTTCATGTGGTCAATGTACAAGACTACCCCTTATTTCAAGTTAGCTAGGGAAATGATTAATTAGTAGTACAGTACATACGGTATATATATATATATGTATGAGTTGGTACTAAAAATCTTCTGAATTGCTTTTTGATGCCTACAACAGGGCATCAGCATATTAATTTTATTTCTCACACGCTTGAAAGACATAGGTTCAGGCTTGGAACCCATCTGGCTTTGAGGATTTAGCTATATACGTGGCTTTATAACATGGTTTTTCTGATAAAGAAGGGTATGAAGTATGATTAGTTAGACATAATTTAAAAAAAATAAAATAAAAATGATTCCGTGCATTGAGCTTACTTACTTTTGTGCTTTATTTAAAGTTTTACTATAATATGCGTTGAGTTAAATTCTTATTTTGGAATCTGCAGTTCAAGGATCTGACCTACAAGGTAGTGATTAGAGGCATGACAACAACTGAGGAGAAGGAGATTTTGAAGGGGATCACTGGTTCTGTAAATCCAGGGGAAGTTTTGGCAATGATGGGTCCCTCAGGAAGTGGAAAGACATCTTTGTTAAATCTGCTTGGAGGCAGACTTAGTCAGCCCTCAATGGGTGGCTCTGTCACTTACAATGACCTACCATATTCCAAGTTCCTAAAGAGCAGGTAAGAATCCAACGGCCATGTTGACTTGCTTATACCTCTTTACCATGTCAGTCCATAACAACCAAATCAACACTGAAGCAAGGAAGGTACTTAAAAACAAACTGATGGAATTCTTAACAAGTCAAAGATTATAAATGTAGCATGACAGCTCGCTGAATTTTCAATGATCAAAATTGTTTTTAATCAATTATCAATTAGACGGAAGCTGTGGTTAATTATGGCAGCCCCACAATTTTGTAAAACTAGATAGTTAGTTTTAATCTCGTAGTGTCCTTATATTTGTTTGAGATCATGTGTAAAGTTACCTCAGTTTCATGTATATCGTACTTACACGAAGCATGCACTTGGCAGGATTGGATTCGTGACACAAGATGATGTTCTGTTTCCACACCTAACCGTGAAAGAAACATTGACATATGCAGCCCTCCTAAAGTTGCCAAATACATTAACGAAAGATCAAAAGGAAAAACGAGCTTTAGATGTCATCAATGAGCTGGGCTTGGAGAGGTAAATGCTTTCCATCCATGATGTCAATTAGCGTCTCAATTATTAGGAGCATAAAGGTCATAATCGTATAAAGAACATAGTATGATTGACTGTAGCTTTATAATCAATTGAATATGGGTTTTGAGTGACAAATATAATAATTTACTTGTAAAAAACAGGTGCCAAGACACTATGATAGGAGGTTCCTTTGTTCGAGGAGTGTCTGGTGGAGAGAGGAAGAGAGTTTGTATTGGCAATGAGATCATAATCAATCCTTCTCTTCTGTTTCTTGATGAACCAACTTCTGGTTTGGATTCTACAACAGCCTTGAGGATAGTTCAGATGCTACATGATATAGCAGAGGTACTTGTTCTCATTCTCCCCTTTGAGACTAATAAGATTGAAAATTAGCATCCAACCATCCCACTTCGAACTTACAATTAAATATCGAAGTTTCTTTTAAAATCTTCATATCAAATAAAAAAGTTTTATATCACACTCAAATAACTCAAGTTAAAAAGAGGGAAAGAATGAAACTTGCTAAATTTTATTCATCCAAGTCTTAAAGCATGCTTTGGTAATAACCGGCTAGATATTTTCACCAACACTCAAACCTTTATCGCTAACCTTTTAGTCTTTTGGCAGGCTGGTAAAACCATAGTGACAACAATCCATCAGCCATCAAGCAGACTCTTCCATAAATTTGATAAGTTGATCCTTCTAGGAAAAGGGAGCTTGCTTTACTTTGGAAAAGCATCTGAAGCAATGGACTATTTCCAATTTATAGGGTGCACACCTCTTATTGCCATGAATCCAGCAGAGTTTTTATTAGACCTTGCAAATGGAAACGTAAATGATATTTCTGTACCATCAGAGTTAGAGGATAAAGTGCAGGTGGGAAATGCCGAAGCTGAAACACAAAATGGGAAACCATCAGCTGCAGTTGTACAAGAGGTAAATTCTCATTATTCTTTTTTTATATCATTTGATTAGAAAAGAAACTTGAGAGGAGAAAATTTCCCATCTTATTATACTCGAACCTTAACAGTATCTGGTGGAGGCATATGAGACTAGAGTTGCAGAAATAGAGAAGAAAAAGCTAATGGTTCCTATTCCCCTTGATGAAGAACTGAAATCTAAGGTTCATTCTCTTAAAAGACAGTGGGGAGCAAGTTGGTGTGAACAATATTCCATATTATTTAGGAGAGGATTCAAAGAACGGAGGCATGACTATTTTAGCTGGTTGAGAATCACCCAAGTTCTAGCCACAGCAATCATCTTAGGACTACTCTGGTGGCAATCAGATGCTAACGACCCAAACGGTCAGCAAGACCAGGTAACAACTATTTCTTCCCAGAGAATAATAATCCTCAGTCTTAAAGGCCACAGAGCCACGAAACAAATAAAGGCTATCTATAATCATATATACTGAAAGTTAACACCTTCATTGTTCACTGCAGGCAGGACTGCTTTTCTTTATTGCTGTCTTTTGGGGATTCTTTCCTGTGTTCACTGCAATATTCACATTTCCTCAAGAGAGAGCCATGCTGACTAAGGAACGAGCAACGGATATGTACAGGCTAAGTGCATACTTCGTGGCTAGAACTACAAGTGACCTTCCACTAGACCTGGTTTTACCAGTGCTTTTTCTCCTCGTTGTTTATTTCATGGCCGGTTTGAGACTCAGTGCAGGACCTTTTTTCCTTAGTATTCTTACAGTTTTTCTCTGCATTGTGGCAGCTCAGGTATGCATTGTTTTTCAAAATCCAATTACTAAGAAAATAACATAAACAAAAATGGCCTACATTTTCCAACTTCTAATCACTGCTGGTTGTGAAGTAGGGACTTGGACTTGCTATTGGGGCTACACTAATGGACTTGAAAAGGGCAACAACTTTGGCTTCAGTAACTGTGATGACTTTCATGCTGGCTGGAGGTTTTTTTGTCAAGGTAAATTTCATTAACATTTTTTCTTGGAATACAAAACACAAAGTCACATTTAAAGGTTGAAATTTGAAAATATTAAATCATGCTTGGTATTGTGCTAATTGGATAAGTAACTGACCCGTGGTCCTAAATTTGACAGAAAGTCCCCATATTTATATCTTGGATTCGCTACATATCTTTCAACTACCACACGTACAAACTTTTGCTCAAGGTGCAATATGAGCACATTACACCTAGCATAAATGGGATCAAAATTGATAGTTGTTTCACAGAGGTTGCTGCTCTAATAACCATGGTTTTTGGTTACCGTTTATTGGCATATCTTTCTTTGCGGTGGATGAAACTTCAAGCTGGAGCTTAAAACTTTATCCAGGCATTGCAGGTCTACTTGGAAGAGTGATAATGAATGACGACTCATAATTATATGTAAGGAGGACTGCCAAGCATTGATGGGTTGCAGCTTTTGACCCTTCTTTATAATCTTGTGTATATTGTATTTCATTTAGCATTAGCATGTTCAAGGAACAAAACCATGCTAAATGCTATCACAGGCACATCAGTATGTGGATAGTTCATAGAAGAGTTGCTTTATTCAAAACTATTTTAACTCTTAGAAACGAACCCTTCTTGTTAGAGGTGTTTCGTTAACTAAAGCTTGTAACAGCAGTAGTTTAGAATTAAAGGTGTTTATGCCACATATTTGTAAGTTTCTAGAATTTGAGGTGATTATGCTACCTACTAGAATTTTCAAGCATAAATATGAAGTAAATCTACTTTTATCTAAATTTTGTTAAACAAAAAAACATCCCCAATAAGATGATAAGACTTTTCAATAGTGAGTTTGGCTATAAAATGAGGAACTAATGATATATCCTCCCTTGATTTAATTTAAAGTGCATTGTAATCTTAACTCATTAAATTTCTTGAGGTATATACTCTTATTCGCTTGACAAACTATAGAAGAGCTTTTTTTTTTTTTAATAGAAGAGTTTTTCATACATCAAAGAATGATTTTTCTCTCTCTTTCTTTGGTACAATCGCCAGATGATGCTTATTAGGATTTGTTTTCCCGAAATAGAAAAAGTTAATTTATCCTAGGGTAAATATATCGCTGTAATATAAATAAAAATGAATAACAACTTGTACCTAAAGATGTTTTATAAGAAAATAAATAATTTTCAGCCTTTTAGGATTTGTTTTCTGCCTTTTTTAAAAAAATAAAAATAAATTACCAATCTTCCTCACCTTCCAAATTGCATACCAATCTATTTTATTTGGCCAAAGTGGAATGAATGACTCCACCTTAAAATCAAACTTTACACATTTTGTGATTTCATTGGAGTAAATGTTAGACAGTGGGCATTAATTTAATCAAATTGACATTATTAAATTAGTAAGTTAAATAATATTTAAAATCATAAATAATTCTTTATTGTGTGAGGAAATAGTTTGAAATTCCTAAAAATTCAAAAACGACAAATTTATTATTGATAATTATAATTTGATTATTAATTTTTTTCTTTATTCATAAGAAAACTCTATTTAATTGATTTTTTTTAAAAAAATAAGGAAAGAAAAAAAAAATTCAATAATTGTATTATTAATTATAGGATAGGATATTGTGACACCCAAATTATGTTACACCCATGTGACACCCAGTCAATCTCACCGTTAGATCGCTTATGTTGATCCAACGGTTATATTTATTTCTATCTTTGTATGGTCACGATTTTCCAAATTTAAAGTGAAAGCATTAAATATGGGAAATCATAACCATACAAAGTTAGAAATAAATATAAAATATTAAATTTGAGAAATCATGACCATACAAAGATGGAAATAAATATAACCGTTGGATCAACATAAGCGATCTAACGGTGAGATTGACTGGGTGTCACATGGGTGTAACATAACTTGGGTGTCACAATATCCTATCCCATTAATTATTTATAAATTTTTTGATATTTTTAAATTTGCAAACATTTTGAATATGATTCTCATTTATACTATCTGACCCAATATACTCATATTTTAAAATATGTATAAATTCAAAAATGTTAAAATAATTATTGTAACATCCCGAACGCTGACGAGGACGGGGAGTGATCGCCAGTGCAAAGAGGCACGGACAAGGAGCGACTCCTGACAGGCTTCCAGCGATGGGTTACATGCATGAATGAATCGAATCGATACCCGAAAGAAGAGAGGGATTCCAAAGGCTGTGCAGGTATAATGCTGCACAGTTTGGGATAGCTTATAAGAATTAATTGGTACTACCTATGCTAACAAGATGCATCTGCTTTTCGGTAGTCCGGATCGGAAGAACTCCACAGTTAAGCGTAGTTTTCTCAGGAAGTGTGCGAGTGAGGAAAAAGCATACTGAAAAGTCTCGGGTTAGTATGTGGGGATAGTCATTTATTCTTGAAGCGGCTGAGCGTTACAATTATCATTAATAATAATATAATTGTCGATTTTTTTTTTTTTTTCATCATTTGTAAAAAAAATTCTAACGAATTGAATTTTTCAACGAACAATTATAATTATTTGCCATAAAAAAAGTGGATTGAGTTTTTAGATGAGCAGAAAAAATTAATAGTCAAATTGTCATTATTCTAAATTATCATGCTTGATAATTGAAAATTATTCATGATTTTAAATATTATTTGACTTAATAAATTTATTATTAATTTCAAATTTAATATGAATTTAATAAATTTAATAAACTTGTATCTAAACAAAAACAAATAAGCATATACTATTTTTAAAAATTAATTTAGAATATATCATGACACAAACCAATAAATAACTTACCTGTAAATATACCTTACTTATATATTTTCAAATTATTTTTTAACGGAAATATATACGCTTTTATAAGTTATCCTTGTGTTCATGCTTGTGATCTAACCCAGCAATCACCATTCGAATAGCCCAGTGTTGCCCTTCATTCATTCGTGGTCTAAAGTCTAACCGCCATCGTAAAACGACGTCGATTAGAAAAATAAGGGCATTTTCGTCAGACCACTTCTCAACGGCTACTATAAGTATCAAACGAGTCCATTTCTTTCTCATATCGAAATTGTTCTTCTTCTTCTTCTTCTCTTATTCATTCGTCTCTCTCTCTCTCTTGTTCTGATCTTCAAGCTCCAAATCAACAACCACCACGCGCCGACATTCATTTTATTCTCTCTCTCTGTTTTCTTTGTCGTTTCTTTCCATTCAATTTTCTTCATTGTGTTTTCTGTTTTGCAGGGTTTCTTGATTTCTTCTTCTTCTTCCCTCTCCAATCATGGATGCGGGGTCTTGGAGTTCTTCCACCGAGATCAAATCCCGATCCCCTCTCCAAGTGAATTCCCTCCACAGAAAGAATTATCAGGAAAACGTAAGCCCCTCAGTGTCTTGATTTTCTTGCTACCCAAACAGAAAACCCTCGATTTCAGCGATTCATAATTTCTCACTTTTTTTGTGTGTGTGGTTTTTGCAACAGTTGGACAGGTTCATTCCCAATAGGTCAGCCATGGACTTCGGTTACGCTCACTACATGCTTACGGAGGGAAGGAAGATCAAAGAGAAGCCGGCGGTGACGTCGCCGTCGCAAGAAGCCTACCGGAAGCTACTGGCGGAAGCCTTGAACATGAACCGGACTCGAATCTTGGCCTTCAAGAATAAGCCCCCAACGCCGGTTGAACTCATCCCCAAGCATATTCTTTCCCCTCCTCCTCAATCCAAATCCTCCAAGCCCAAGCGATACATTCCTCAGGTACGTGAAAATGAAAAATTGTGCCTAGCCTAATCAGGTGCTTTTTCAATTGCATTCTAAGTGTTTGCGAAAATGTTTTTCAGAGTTCTGAGAGGACCTTGGATGCACCTGGTATCGTAGACGACTTCTACTTGAACTTACTAGACTGGGGTAGCAGCAACGTCCTCAGTATTGCCCTTGAAAATACGGTATATCTTTGGAATGCCGATGATGGCTCCACTTCAGAACTTGTCACTGTGGATGAGGAAGATGGTCCGGTTACAAGTGTTAGCTGGGCTCCTGATGGACGCCATTTAGCCATTGGTTTGAACAATTCCCTTGTCCAACTGTGGGATTCTATCGATACTAAGCTGGTAGATATCATACTTTATTTTTTGTTTTTTTATTATATATTTACCATTTTATTTTATTTTTGTTTTAAAATTGAAACTTATGCATTCTGATGGTTCTATGGTTTGATTTGGTGAACGCAGCTAAGAACACTGAGTGGTGGACACCAAGCACGAGTGGGTTCACTAGCTTGGAACAATCATATCCTTACAACGGGAGGAATGGATGGTAGAATAGTTAACAATGATGTTAGAGTAAGATCTCCCATTGTTGAAACCTACAGGGGACATCAACAGGAGGTCTGTGGGCTCAAGTGGTCTGCCTCGGGACAACAATTGGCCAGTGGAGGCAACGATAATCTTATTCATATATGGGACAGGTCCGCAGTCTCTTCCAATTCAGCAACCCGTTGGCTTCACAGGCTTGAGGAGCACGGAGCTGCTGTAAAGGCACTGGCTTGGTGTCCCTTTCAGGGAAATCTACTAGCTTCTGGTGGAGGTGGGGGTGATCAGTGCATTAAGTTTTGGAACACCCATACGGGTGCATGCTTGAACTCTGTTAACACAGGCTCTCAGGTGTGCTCTCTGCTGTGGAACAAGAATGAGCGTGAGTTGCTTAGCTCGCACGGTTTCACCCATAACCAGCTCACTCTTTGGAAATATCCTTCTATGGTGAAGATGGCAGAGCTCAATGGTCATTCCTCCAGGGTGCTATTTATGACTCAAAGTCCAGATGGGTGTACTGTGGCCTCTGCAGCAGGGGATGAGACTCTGCGATTTTGGAATGTCTTTGGAACCCCAGAAGCGTGCAAACCAGCCCCAAAGGCAAACACTGAGCCCTTTGCTCATTTCAACCGTATCCGTTGAAGATGACATGTAAAACTTTTGCTGCAAATATTGTATAGGGGATTCTGTGCTATAGGTAAGGGGTAGTCCTGCCCCAAGTGATTTTGTATTAAACAAATGTTTAATTCTTTTATTGTTACCATGAGCCTTTTCTGTACGTATATTCTGTCAAACATATGGACATACATACATTTATATAGTGGGCATAGAATTTTCTGTACAGAAAGAACTAATAACTTTGAATGAATGCCATATATGACTGGATTTTTTATTTTTCACTTTGATTTTTTATTTTTTATTTTTCTTTCTTTCTTTATTTTTAGTGTTTTTGAGAGTCTCACATCCCCACAAGTCATCTTATTTTGGTGTCAAGTATAAGTGTAGCAGTTATTTTAAGAGTTCTATGAAGAAAAGAGGGAATCGGTTAAAAGAGGGAATAGGGAAAAGAAAGTTAGAGGAAGAGGGAAGAGAAGAGGTTACATGCACAGAGAGAAGAGAGAAAAGAGACAAGATGAGAGAGAGGGATTAGAGTAATTTCCTTCTTGACGTCCTTTTTCCACAACAGCTTACTTATATAGTCTAGGTGGTTACAACAGAATACTAACAAACTAAAAATATAAAAGATGTAACAACAGTAATTAAATGAACAGTAGATGAATAAATTGATATGCTTGGGCTATTGTTTTTGGGCTGGTGTGCTACAATAAGTCAAGAGCACCATAGTCTATTACTTGTAGGTCCTCGCTTCAGATTGAGGGCGTCATAAGTTGTCCCTAGTAATGAGAGTTTTTTAATTGCAATGGGATCTTTCTTCATTGAAGAAAAAGTTAATGGTTCCTATCCCCCCTTAATGAAGAACGGAAGTCCAAGGTTCGTTGTCTTAAAAGACAATGGTGAGTAAGTTGGTTCGAGCAATATTCCATATTATTTTGCTTCAGTAGCTGTGATGACTTTTATGATGGCCGGAGGTTTTTTTTTCTGGAATCCAAAATCTTTGTATGTTCAGTAGCTTGAAATTACAATTAGAGGTATTTGTGGTACATATTTTAAGTTTCATGATTATGTTACCTACTAGTCAAGTTTAATTTATAGAAACGTTGCCTTTATTTATGTGGTAGGTTGTCATACAATTAAGCTAACTGCTGAATGTCCTGGAGCTGTATTTTATGCAATGATGAAGTATGCTTTAGACACCCCCTATAGTTCAGCTGGTGAGCTTTCCCCCTTTCTCTGTTGCTACCTGATCTTTTTAATCTTTTCCATTCTTTTCATTATAAGGCATTCCTTTCTTATTAAATCAAAAAAACTTTTAGAATGTAGTTTGGAGGTATGAACATACTTGGAAAACTTGGCGTCTTGGCCTTTCCAGAGGTACCAACTACCAAGCAACAAAATTTGAAAAATGATCAGAACAAAGGTAACAATAGTCATGCCTCCAGTTAGAAAAGTGGGTCAAATGGAAGACAATGCAATTAAAAGGGTAGTGGAAGACCTAAGAAAATATTAATAGTCATTGAAAAAGAATTTGCTCGAGATGGTTTTATTGAAATTTTGGTTTTTGATAGAGCCCAATAGTTTAGGTTGAACCGTCAAGCTGACTCGTAGTGGGGTAATGCTTGGGGGTTCTTGTATACATTTTATCACTTCGTAAAGGGGATTGACTAGTTATGCATAGCTTTTTGTTTTGGTACTCACAATGGTTGCTGATAGATTTTATTATTGTTTGGGATGAATTTTTGCAGATAGCTTGATTAAGAATGTTTAGGTTGTACTTAAAAAATGGAAAAAGGTTCTTAGATCCTACCTGATTGACATTAATGAGCAGGTGCATCTGTCAATTCTTCCCCCCTTTACTTGTTGAAGTTATTCATTTTCACTTGTGTAGTGTTTTTCAATTATTATTACTGATTATCTTGCATTATTTTTAATTTTCTCTGAAGCCTTTTGGAGAATGCTCATTTTTTGTTGTTGTGATTTTATCATCATCCAAATCCATTTTAAATGGCTTCAGGAGAAGACTATCTTTCAGAAAATTAAACATGCAATGCTGTTTTTTGCTGCATGTTGGCTGGAGTACTCAACTCGAGTATTGTTACCTTGTTCTCATACTAATTAAATGTCTACATTTGGGATGCACGTTGTTTTTTTGTTCTTGATTTAATTCTGCAACTTCTTTTGGAGCATAGGCTGTAAGTTCTCTATGTTGAAGTGGGGATTTCTCTGGAAGTATCAATAAAATTAACGCTTAGATTCTCTGTTGAGCATTCTTTGAGCTTGGCTGATATTTCATCTGATAGTTACATTGCGGTGGTCTTTAAAAGCTATTACTTATCAGGGAAAGAAAAAGAGAAAGCAAATTTATCTTTGGTTGTGTGAAACATGGTAGCTCTTTAGTACTTTAATGAACTTTGAGTTGTTACATAAGATCGTTATTTTTGAAATATGGTAATGAATTCTCTAATAGTTCTGTGTATAATATATATGTTCTAATACAGTGTGGGCATTTACTCGATGCTTCCCTAATTGATTCCCATTTCTTAATGGTTCTGCCCTCTGTTGATATTTTCTACTCCAGATTGAAGTAATATTAAAATTTGAAGAAATGTGTTTGGAATCTTCTAAGGAGTTTGCTCCATTGTTCACAAGGGTATGCTTATCTCTCTCTAGTTAGACCTATTGATGTGTCTTCATTCTTTCAGTATGCACATCAGAAAGATGCATTGAACTATAAACTTAGTTGTATATATTTCATAATTATTATTGATGTGTCTTCATTCTTTCAGTATGCACATCAGAAAGATGCATTGAACTATAAACTTAGTTGTATATATTTCATAATTATTAAACGTATTTTTTTTTAATACATATTAAACGTATTTTTATATCTTTCATAAGTTAGACTTGTCAATTTGTAGTATTTTTATTCACATGAGGAAACCTGTACCAGCTGAGTCAACTCTAAATAGTGTTATATCCTTTGGTCAAATAGAAATTACATTAAGATCAATGACATTTTATGCACGGTCGTTCTGTCTAAAGCCAGTAAGTTACTGCTGCCAACAAAGTTAGATACACAAGATTTGAGAGCATGAGAACTTGCAGGAACCTTACTTTTGTGATAAACTTTATTTTCATGACACTACATTTGATTTTCTTTTCCCTCCTTTTGTCATGACTTGTTAATTGCATTCAGATTTTGCACTACATGTATAATGAAGATATTGGAGAAGAAGATGCTATTTTGAATTGGGAAGATGAGAAGAAAGACGCAGATGAGTCACATTAAGTTTTTGTTAAGCAGGCCCAAAAATTAATTCAAGTGTCCTTATGTAACTTTTTTTACACCCTTATAAAACTAGGTGGTTACTTACGTTTTCACAACTATTCTATGAGATGCATTACTTTCTCATGTAAGCCTTTTTATCGTTTCTTGTCTGTAGTGATTATTTTGACAAGGAAGAATAGAAAGGATATTACTTTCTCATGTAATCCTTTTTATCGTTTCTTGTCTGTAGTGATTATTTTGACAAGGAAGAATAGAAAGGATTTCGCGAGGCTAGATACTCTATCTTTTTCCCGGTTCTTTCATCTGGGGAACTTAAAAGGGATTTTTGTGCATTCATCTATGCAGGAATTCAAGTGGGGAGTTATTTTGACATGTTTCTTTGTATATCCTGTTGTGGAGGAATAATAGAATCTAATGAAAATCGAAGGCTTCAGAAGAACACAAAGTCTCAAGTTTGTTACAATGTATGATCACTTATCTGTCAATTTTATCCACACAGCAGGTGAAGTGTGACATGAATGACTCAAATTTTTACTTTTAATCACTATTGGACTCCGGCTGTTGAAATGCTTAAGCGAACTATAGTCATTATTATGAGGGTTAAACGTAAAAGAACTCCAATTTTGTTATTCAACGTTAAATGAGTAATTTTCTGGTTACAATTTCTATTTATAGCATTAAGGTAAGGGAAAAATGTGTATAATTTTGAAGGATGTAAAGTTGTGTCATTTTAAGAGAGAGAAAGAGATAGATAAAGGAGGAGAGAGAGTTGACAAAAAAAAATAAAGTTGTGGGTCCCACCTCTTTGTGAGAGTGAAAGGATGTAAGTTGTGTAATTTAAAAGTATAAACACTTTTCCCTTAGGGTGTGTTTGGTACAGGAGAAATTTTTTGGTGACCGGGAATCATGATTAATGGGAATTCAGTAGAAATTGAGTTTACTTGGAATCTTACGAAAGATGTGTTTGGTTCGCCAAAATATTACCGGGAATACTGGGTAAAAATTACTGATTCCATATTTGGTTTAGAACGAAATATGACTTGGAATATGAGGTTATTTTACAAAAATAACCCCAAACTATTTTTACTTTTGTAATTGATAGATTTGGTCTAGATTTTTATGTGTATTGGGGTATTTTTGTCTCAAAATTTATTGTTGTGCTTTCCCTTTACTTGGTATTCTGATTGGTATTCCGAATTACCATATTATTTTTGGTAATCTGAATAGTGACTTTTCTTTATAAATCAAATTACCGGTAATCCTTGGATATCCGGGAATCGTAATTTATTCCTTCTACCAAACGTGGTAATTACATTTACCAAAGAAGGATTACCGGTAATCCTCTCCAAAAACTTGAACCAAACACCCCCTTAAGGTAAATATAATTTTTATCTAAACTTCACAATGTTATACAGATTAAATAATCATGAGTATTTATGATAAAACATATGTACGAACTACTGTGAAAAAACAAAAGGAAGGGGAGAAATTTTTTAAATTGTTCGGTGGTCAATGTAGGAATTTATACTGGGATTGATATATACCCCAGTATATAATATTTCATTTTCAAAGTGATAGCATTTTTATTGGACAAATATCATCACACTCATGCCTGTCATCTATTTGAGAATCTAAAGCAATAATGTAACAATAGCCCTTGTAACGTCTGCATCACGCATACTATTGTTTTCATTGGTGAGTGGTGATTTCCCATTGAAGCCCTTCTCACGAGGTGGCTTCAACAGCAGTACAGCACAACCACTTACCCCATCTTCTGCAAACTTGGGGTTCCCAAACTGCATAGCTTGAGTGGCTTCTGGAACAGCAGCTATCAAAATCTCTGGAGATAATTGCCTATTTAAATGCTGAAAGAATAAAAGTTTCACACATTTTCACTCTGATTGCAGTACATATATAATCTCAGTTTCTTGGCGTTTTTTAGTTTTCTCCTTTCACTTTTTCAGTTCATCCACCCTCTTGAGTCTTGAGTTTTCTAGGCTTCAATTATCCATCTTATTCTAACAAAGATGGCAAACTTGAAGCACTTATCTCTTATTTGGAGCATTTTTGTTCTAGCTACAATTTCAATGCCGAAAGGTCACTGCAGAGTTTTTGAGCCAAACATTCATAGAGCAAACATGCAAGCATACACCCCATCCTGATCTTTGCATTCAAATCCTTGAAGCAGAGCCTCATAGCTCAAGTGCAGATGTCAGAGGCCCAGCACTAATATTGGTGAATGTAATCAATGTTCAAAATACTTTAGTTGAATCACCAAAATGCTTGCAGACTCTTATGCTCAAAATTTAGACAGCAAAATCAGTCTCATAGTTATTCAATCCTTTCCCTAAAAATTGAATTTACATAATTAACTATTCTTGAGAATTTGGCTATGTTTTACAAGCAATTTTACTACACAATTTATAGAGACGGCCCTTAAAAATTTCACTAACCCAGAATGCCTATTTACCAGTAATCAAACAAATAGGCACCAAAATTAGGACTAGAAACCCCTTTTGTATAACTTAAGGTCCAAAATAAATTTTCAGTAAACATAAAGCATAAAAAGCAAAAAACCTTTTTTTTTTTTTTAATAAAGCATAAAAAGTTAATGTTAATACAAAAAGACCATATTGGGAAGCTTTTTTTTGGCGAGGAATGAAAAAAAATTTCAGTAAATAAAATCATAATAAGAATAACTAAAATGCAGAAACTCACCCAATAGCCTCATGAGTCATGACCCAGAATTCTTGGAAAATAGGCAGGAGGGTCCTTCAAAACATAGAAAAAGCATCTTAAAAATTCATTCAAAAGGTATTCCTAGTAAAAAAAATTAAAATCATGAGGACAAAACTATAAATAAATAAAATAGTGCTGGAAAGGTAATGAGTAAAAAACAAATTAAAATCAAGAAATAATTAAAAAATGGATAAAAAAAAACCTGCATGTTCCAAAAAGTGATATCGCTGTGGCAGAGAGAGGTACATATAACACGAATCCGAACCTCACGAGGCATTGGAGGCGCCACAATGATCTCCTCAATAACCAAAGGCTCACCGGGTCTTCTAACAACCGCCGCTGCATTCACCAATATTGATTTTGTTTGACACATCATTTGCTTTGGCATTGATTACATTCACCAATATTAGTGCTGGGCCTCTGACATCTGCACTTGAGCTATGAGGGTCTGCTTCAAGGATTTGAATGCAAAGATCAGATGGGGTGTATGCTTGCATGTTTGCTATATGAATGTTTGGCTCAAAAAGCTCTGCAGGACCTTTCGGCATTGAAACTGTAGCTAGAACAAAAATGCTCCAAATAAGAGATAAGTGCTTCAAGTTTGCCATCTTTGTTAGAATAAGATGGATATTTGAAGCCTAGAAAACTCAAGACTCAAGAGGTTGGATGAACTGAAAAAGTGAAAGGAGAAAACTAAAAAACGCCAAGAAACTGAGATTGTATACGGTTTTCTCTATGAGGTGCCAATAGAAAGGTGTCAAATAGGGACAACAAAAAACATTGGCCAAGTCTATGTGACTGTAGTGGTTCTTGGTTGTCGGGTTTCGCCAGAAATCTTGGTAGGGGTAACTCTCTATTTGCAGAGCTTTGGGGAACTTTCATTGGTCTGCAACAAGCCTGGTAAGGGTGCCTTGTGTAGGTTGTAATCTCGTGGTTCAGCAGGACTTCATGGGTGTCTCTACACCCAGATTGGTTACTCTTGTGTAGTTTTTGATTTCCACTATATATATACAAAACAAAACAAAACAAAAAGAGATATTCCTCAAATATAAATATTGACCTCTTACATGTGAACGTAAAGTTGATTTCAAACAATAATAGCAAATGAAGAGGCTCCAAGGTAATGATGCACAATTAATGTGCACATGCATGTAAGCAGAAAACGCGTCGAATTATCTCCAAATGTCCCTATCGTATTCCTAATAGAAGATAATTTTGTGATATATACTGCATTTAGATTCTTCCTACTAATATACTTGCATTTAATTGGCTTTACTTCAAAAGGAAGATACATGTGACTAGCATCATCCATCTATAGTGTAGATGAGAGTACCCTAATAATTTGATCCCAAGTCAATTTATTTACATGCAATGATATATACTCAAGTTATTACATGACTCAATAATTTTAACTAATAATTTGTTATCGGGGATATACAATGGTGGCAATAATTCGACGATTAATTAGTTAAAATTTGAGTATATAATTTGTTATAGGGATATACCCACTTCCATTATTCTCATCCAATGCCACTGCCTCCGCTATTAATTACTCTTATTTTCATTATTTGTTTTTACATGTCTTTTTTAGTAATTTTATATATAAAAACTGCTTTTTTAATTTTAACATACAAATAATTTTTTAAATTTAAAGTGTTGTTCACATATTTTATCCAAATATAAGATATATAGTTATAATTTATTAAAAAAATGAGATATAAATATATATTTCAAAAGTCCATCTAGATGAGTGTTTAGTCTCAAAGCTAAGACATCAACGATGAGTAAAACTGAGTGACATTGATAGATTTTATTTTATTTTTTGAGATATTTCAATCTATCCTTCGTTTTACGACTAGTTCGATTCAGAACGGGTCTAGAATTAAGGCTTTAAAATCCTTTCAAAACAATACTGAAGAGGATCAAAATACTCTCAACTCCAACTGTTTAGTCCCTATCACCAAGCGCCATTGATAGATTTTGAAATCAAATACACAATATAAAGATTCTTTTTATTCTATCAGGGACCTTCAATGCCATTTGGATTGTCTTTTTTGTCCAGATAATAAGAGTGACATAGGGATAAGCGAACCGCACTCCTTATTAGAGAAGACTTTTGTTGGAAAATATCCTATTCGCATAGATTAATCTCGCAATATTCCCTGTGAGAATATTCGGTAAAAAAGAAAAAAGAAAAACTGTTTTATTTTTCCTATTCCAAATATATTACATTGACGGGCGTTTGATACTCAGATTTTTTTTAAAAACATGGGAAAGCTGACTTTGAATTTATGGAATGTCATGTTTGGTAAAAAAAATTAAAAAATTTCGGATACATTTATTTCCCGAATTTCGTTCTCCTTTGCAAATTTTCGTACGGACACCATCAAACCTTTCCCAAAGATTTGTTGGAATTTTTCATCACCCGGGGAAGTAACAAATCAACAGCAAAATTGAGGACCAAATTAACCCTTATTTTTGTGAAGAAGCTCAGTACAACGTAGCATAAAGCACAATACATTATCTCCCCCTTTCAAGCCACTGCATTTGTGTATTGAAATAAGAGCTACTCTGTTAAGTAATAACTACAGCCTCACCTGTTATTGAAGGAACAAGCGTAGGTGCTGATGTTGCCATGCTTTATGCCTTATCATACATAAAAGATGCTCTAGCTGCAGATGGTGTGAAGAGTAAAGCATGGAAAACAAAAACAAAAAAAATAGGGTTTTAGGGATAAGCTCAAAGCA